ATCACAAAGTTGGGATGCATTGCCCTCATTTCAAAGCAAGTAAAAACTTTGAATTCATCCTTCCATGGAGCACAAATAGAAGCATACACAATCTTTGTGAAACTAATGAAGATTTGTGCTCCTTTAAAGGATGAATTAAAAGCTTGAAGTTTGTTGCATCCTATCTCTTTGAATATATATACAGGTGAAATTCGAAAAATTAGAATATCGTGCAAAAGTTAATTTATTTCACTAATGCAATTTAGCCGTCTACCAGGAGATTTTGGAGCACTTCATCCTTTCTTCCGCAGACAAGCTCTATGGGGATGCTGACTTCATTTTCCAGCAGGACTTGGCACCTGCCCACACTGCCAAAAATGTTCGGAGATTGTGTATTTGGGGTTTTCATGAGCTGTAAGCCATAATCATCACAATGATGACAAATCACGGCTTGAATTATCTTGCTTTGCATGTAATGAGTCTATCTCATATATTAGTTTCACCTTTTAAGTTGCATTAGTGAAATAAATGAACTTTTGCACAATATTCTAATTTTTCGAGGTTTCATTTGTATATACAGGTGAAACTCGAATAATTAGAATATTGTGCAAAAGTAATTGCAGTAAGTGCTGCAAAAGGGGCCCAAACCAAGTACTGAGTACATATGCATGCTTGTGCTTTTCAGAGGTCCGATATTGTTCTATGTACAATCCTTTTTTTATTGATTGCATGTAATAATCTTCTTTTTTGAGGTTGTGGATTTGGGGTTCTTGTGGTTTTCATGAGCTGTAAGCCATAATCATCACAATTATGACAAATCACGGCTTGAACTATCTTGCTTTGCATGTAATGAGTCTATCTCATATATTAGTTTCACCTTTTAAGTTGCATTAGTGAAATAAATGAACTTTGTACGATATTCTAATTATTCGAGTTTCACCAGTATATATATACACACACAAATATGTGTTTATTAGTAAAACTATAAAGTGTATGTAAAGTCAATATTTTTTTTTAGTTTTGGATCAAAGTGTAGGTATAGAAGTGTAAGACCTGTCAGGTGTTTATTGTTGTGTGCATCTCTGCTAGGGTGATTCACACACACAAAAGGCCCTGGTGTCTTAACCCTTCCCTACTTTATGCAAAACTAAGAAAGCAAATTAAATAAATGTAAATTCAACTAATGTAAGTACGTTAAAGCCTAACTGAACTTTTAGTTTACATTAGTTGATTACATTCTAGGTACAGAAAAACTAAAGGTGCCCATACACTGTACGATTCTCGTACGAGAATCGCGGGAAATCCCGCGATCGTACGAGAATCGTACAGTGTATGGAAGGCGTGCGACCGTTTCTACTGTACGGTCGCACGTCTTCCATCGAACACGCAGGCTGGAAAACCCGCCGGGAATCGTACAATTCTCGGCGAGTGAGTGGCCTGCTGGTTCGACAACTGACGAACGGGCCGGTGTGCGCACGCGCACACTGCCCGTTTGCCGTCCTTGCAAGCCCGCCCCTCATTGCAGTCATCGCATGCCCGCCCTTCAAGGGGGCGGGCTTGCGATGATCGCAAGTACGATCTGCCTGTCCAAGATGGGCAGATCGTACTTTTTTTAAGTACTAAGGTCTTGCGATGGTTGTAAAGTGTATGGCCACCTTAAAGACCTGCAAAGTCTTACAGTTCCTTTTTGTAGAAAGCAGCCACAGTCTCAATAGAAAAGCCTGTCCCCTACCAGCATGCCATAGAAAAAGGACCCTTGTTCTCTGGGTAGAAGCAATGGTCTCTCTGCAAAAGTGCATCAGAGCTAGAGGTTTGCAATCAACAAAGTTCATGCTCCATGTTTATTGGAGAGCTCTAGCGATGACTCACACAGTGCGTGTGTCAGATTTCTGCAGAGAGACCACTGCTTCCACACAGAGAGCAAGGATACCTCTTTACAGCATACTGGTGGTGGGCAGGCTTTTCTACTTAGGCTATGGCTGATTTCTAAAGAAAACCTCCTGTTAGACACTTGGTTAAGCCCCTGGAATGTATTTAGCTGCATTAAAGTGAAAGTCCAATTAAGCTTTCAACCATTTTAATAATATTTTTTTATAATTCCCCAGTTGTCTGAGTCATTCAGGTTCCGTTGCATGCACATATACTGAGAAAAGGCCAAGTACATTATTATCCTATGTCTGGAGAAATCTTCAACTGATTTATAAGATATAACCGAGCAGCATATCCAAAGAATCAGACAGAACAATTTTCAGAGCTCAGAGATTTCATAATCTTTCACAGTCTTGTTAAACATCGCACACAGTATACAATATATATATGTTCAGTGGCAAATAAAGCTTTCCAATGATCAAGTAAAGGCATGTGGGACAAAGTGTACATTGCTTCCAGGAGTAGTATGCCCAGTAGAATAGTTTTCATGTATAACTGATGGTAGCATTGGCTTTTCTAAAGTGATAAAACTCTGGCTGCCGGAAGCTGAAGGTAAATCCACTTGTATTTTGCTTTTCCTACTACCTCCTTTCCATATTTATTACATACTTTATGTTAGACCCAGTGACATCATTACTGGGTCTTTGTACTTCTCTATGCAATTTAGGCAGATCATGACTGGTGGAAGGGTCTGGCCTCAGTTCTCCTCTTCTGAGCCTGGTGAAAGCTGTAGGCTGGCAAAATACCAAAATCTCTTGATGTGTGGGTACCAGTCTGGAGGAGTGGACATTCCTAGGCCGGTTCCTGCCCTAGGAAATGCCCACCTGTGAAGCTGAGCCTCCATGATTGAACAAACAAAATCCAATGAATGAAAGGGTCTATAAGGCCGTGAAAGAAATAACTAGATGATGCTGGATGTCCTTCAGCAAGGAAATGAGATGGACTCTGTTGGACTTAATCACAATTTCAGTACAGGAGAGGAATCTGTACACCTATGCAAGTCTGAAGGTAAGGCTGGAGTTCAGCTTTCAGGAACGCACACTGAGAACACAATTTTATAACAATACTTGGTGACAGAGGATTTGCAGAACCAAACCTCTGCACTCTATACAGACTTATAGATCGACCTTATAGATAAGTTCTCACACATATATGAAGGAGAGCAAGCAGCATTTCAGAACTATAAAGAATACTGCAGTGAAGAGTAAAGGACTTCAGGACCATGGACAAGAGAGTGGGTGATTCATAGTTGTGGACCAGAAGAGGACCACATACCGTGTTTCCCCAAAAATAAGACCTAGTACTATTTTGGGGAATTGCTAAATGATAAGACCTACCCCAAAAATAAGACCTAGTTGTGACCACTCCCAGGGCCGGTGGTGGCATAAGAGGGAACTTGAGGAGCCGCAGGAGAAAATCAGCGGTGTCAACGAAGCCAGCCCTAGAGGAAGCGAGGCGGCAGCGGAGGGAGCAGAGCCGCATAAGCCGATGCTTCCTCTATAGCGCTGGCTCCTGTCACAGGCGGAGTGATACCAAATGCACTCCCGCCTGTGAGGAATCAATAGTGAAAGTGCACTTTGCTCATTCTGTCCAGCGATTGGTTACCAAATTGCTCTTGGAAAGGTATAGCACCCCTGATTGCCTTGATCACCATATTTTTGTACATGAATATATGTAGACTGTTGTACAAGAATAAGTGTGGATTGTTGTACATTAAAAAAAATAAGACCTACCCTGAAAATAAGACCCAGTGTATTTTTTTGAGCCCAAAGAAATATAAGACAGTGTCTTATTTTTGAGGAAACACGGTATTAGATCACTGTTTCCAAATCTTTTTTCAGTCACAACACCCTTTAAAAATATGAAAAATCCCGAGGCACCCCAGTCTAAAATGTATGAAATGTAAATGGAAAAATAGAAAAAAATAAGGTGTGCCCTCCAAAATTCATATCAGTCCCTTATCTAAGATAGGGATCTGGTATAGATTGTAAGGGGGACCCCACACAAAAACACCAAAAAGGGGTTTCTCTTTACAACAAAGTCTCCCCCTTTGATATCAGGAACCCCATTCACATTAGAACCCCCTCTTTTCACATCAGATGCCAACCCTTTATATCAGAGCCCCCATTCACATCTGAGCCCCCTCCTTTCATACGGTATCAGGAGCCCTTTCCACATCAGAGCCCCCATTTACATCAGAGCCCCCATTTACATTAGAGCCCCCATTCACATTAGAACCCTCCCTTCACATCAGAGCCGTGTTTCGCATTAGAGCCCCCTCCTTTCACATCATAGTTCTCTTTCACATTAGAGTTCTACATTAACATCAGGAGCCCCCTTCACATCACAGTCTCCCCTTGACATCAGAGCTCCCCTTTCACATCAGAGTTCTCCCTTCACATCAGGAGCCTCCTTCACATCAGAAGCCCGCCTGCACCGTAGAAAGGCATGACGCTGTGCGACAATTGCAAGAAACCCCTGAGGAAGCCAGAGGGCACCCCAGGGTGCCATGTGCCATGGTTGAGAAATGCTTATGCCGAGGGGAGTAGGCACTCAAAGAAGGATAATGGAAACAAAACAGTTATTTTATTATGCTAAACATATATACAATATATATTGATAGGTATTGCCCGAGCAATTAATGGTTTAGTTTTTTTTAGAGTCTGCTCACTCCCCTCTCTCTTCTAACTTCACTTTGAGCACCTCCAAAGCCCTGCAAGCTTTTACTATGAATAACAAGAATAATAAAAAGTGTAATATGCATATAATTGGCCTGAGAAAAGTAGTGTGAATAAGGCTGCTCTTCTTGATGACAGATTCCTCAGCAATGACTATTACAGCATTCGGGAAATGTGGAAATCAAAAGGGCATTTGGTTGCTTGGTGATAGACCTAACACGTATTGCGCAATACACAAATTGCATATAAAATCACACATTGCCTAAGAAGACCTCATTTCAATATACGCAACTTAAAGCACACAAAATAGTTTCAGTAGAAATTAAAAAAAGAAATGACAGGAAACTTTTTTCTCAAGCTGGTAAACTTTCAGATCACATTTGAACCGACACGCTTCACCATGCAGTTACTCACCCTAGGTTGAAGGACTTGTCAGTGTTTTGGTAATCAGCCGCTTGCTGAGTTTGGGAATTCTCACCACTTGCTAAACTGCTGTTATTTTGCAGAGGACATATTAGCAGAGAATTGCAGGGCAAGATCGACATCACATTTCTCAGTAACGGTTCTGGAAAACGAAAAAGGATTATTAATCATAGATCCTCCTGCCGCACAATCCTTCAACACAGTACAACTATAGACGACATTGCAGTATTAGTCATTTTAAGGAAATCAGCTTGCATAATACTGCCAAATGTATTCTTGCCTATGAAAGGGGTAATTTTTGGAGTGGGTACAGGTTTCTAACTGTCACAATTTTGTGCACATTGAACCTTTCACGTAAGGTACAGTATTTAATTTCTATTTGTGTGCAGAATAAATGTTATGTTTAATAAAATGATTATAGCTAAAATGTGATGAAGAGGGAACATGGAGTACAAGATTTATGACATATGTGACATGGAAAATTACTATTTAGTCCACTGAAAAGGGAAGCACTATTGAAGAGATTATACAGAATTCATGCAATGGAGGCCTCAAGAAGTGCTGAACATCCTTAAAGTTCAACTCAGGATCTCTGCCCCATAAATACCTGAGAACATTGATTGTTTGATCAACATAATTAGGGTGCATTTCACCCCAGAAGATATATTATTTTCATATTTTGTTATTAGCTAAAACCCAAGAAAGCATTGACCAGTATACTGTAATGTGAATGTTTGTTCACTTTGTAGATGTTGGCGTTGCGTTATAAAAACTGGAAGAAAGAACTGTTTGCTGCCCATAGTATCTAATCAAATTATCTTTCTTTTTTTTTTAAACCACCTTTGTGTATTAATGTTCTAAGGACTCCCAGGACTTATATTATTATTGCTCCACCTTCTTTGTTGGGAAGATCGAGGAGAAACCCTCTCTACTCTACATTGGAGCGATATAGCCTATGGTTCCTCACAGCCAGGGCAGTGGTTCTCAACCTTTCTAGGGCTGGGACCCCTTGGTAACATTTGCCAAGTTGTGGTAACCCCCAACGGAGCACTGGACTCCAGAATTAGTAAGGCGCTGGACTTGGGACTAAAAACAGAAGCACACTCACAAGAATACAAGCCCTCCCCAACCCCTGCTACCTGCTTGCCTGCTCTGTCTCCATGCAGCCTTCTCAGCCCCAGCACTGCTTAGATGCCCACCTACTGCAGAGCTCACATTGTATGGGAGGCAGGAGGACAGCAGCGGCTGTGAATAGAAAAGCCCTGCTGTACACACTCCCAGGGCACTATATGTCGCTGCAGCGGCCGGGGAGTGTGTATAGCGGCACTTTTGTATTCACAGCCTCTGCTGTCCTCCCGCTGACTGACACTGACGCGCTAGGAGGAGGCTGAGGAGCCTCTCACCTAGCGCAGCAGAAGTGGATGCTGCGACCCCCTCAACAGTGAGTTGCGACTCACTTTTGGGTCGCGACCCACAGGTTGAGAACCGCTGCACTAGGGGCATGACAGAGGACTAACAATAATGGCTTTGTTACCCATGTAACCAATATGATCCCACTGTGCTTGCTCTAGGTTCGAAAATGAAAATCTAACTGGTTACTTTTAGCAACATTTCTTTTTTCCAGTTGTCATAACGCAACTCCAACATCTACATAATGAACCAACATTCACACTGGTCATATTTGTCTTGTGTTTAGTCTATAACAAAGTATAGAAGTACATCCATCCTAAAAACACGTGTCTTTTAGCGTGAGATGCATTTTTGGTAATTAACGGTATAGCTCATGCAATGTTCTCAAACATTTATAGAAATCATATAACAGGGTGATCACATCCACTTGGTAACATTTAGCAATGAATAAACGTAGAAGCAATGGTATATGGAGATACATAATGTGTCTTTCCCTCTCTCTGTGGGTAGGAGCTGAAATTATAGAGCTATTATTATCATTATTGTAGGAGTTATGCATTTCTGCATCCTGAAATAGTTGTCTTTTATTTCCTGCAAGTAAATATCCATCAGGGTAGAGAATTGCTCGACTATGTATAGTTCTGCCTAACAAGGGAAATAATTGACTGAAGCCACATGCTGTTGTTCTCAAAAAGTATTCAATAGCCAATCTGCAAGAAAACTTTGTATCCCGCTGCAGTTCATTGTAACGTAAAGCACCTGAACGCAAATGTTACCTTAATGATTCAGCATCCTAAATTAATACATTCTGTTTACAGCGTGAATATAACAGGTGCTGGGAGCAATATAGGCTCCCTCCGTTTTTATTACACATAAAAAGCATTGCTACAGTTTTTTGCACCAGGAACCCTGCAAAGGGGGTTGAAGTATTCACTGGGCCCAATTAGAAATGATCAAAATGGGTTTGCTTTCATGAATAGTAGGCAAAACTGTGTCTTTGGAGTGGGTGGGTCTACAAATTCACACAACTATAGAATTCCATAGCTGCAGCCGTGTTTCTATTTCTGGTAAACATGCCTTAAGAGTATGAAATCACAGGGGAACAAGTTTAAATAGGTACTGCAGCATTTAGAAAAATAAATTGACTTTACTTAGGGTATGAGACATGACATTGCTAGCATACAGTTCATGAGTCATTGCTGTTAGAAGACCCCTCAGCCACTTTATGTGGTTGATTTCGCAAACTCTGCCATTTACTCAGTGAAGACTATATGGTATGCTACAGTAGAAGAGCTATAGGGAAAATACACTTTTGGCACCATGTTAGAGAATGTTAAAATCCTGAGATCCTAAGAAGTGGTTGTCTGGGTCTGGTAATGGGAGCTCCTAGAGACAGAATAATGGAGTGGGGTAGAGTGGATGAAGAAGACTAGTAAGCAGTTGAGCTGATATAACTATGTTTACCTTCCTGTGAGAGACTATCGCTCTTGAAATGCTTAGAAATGACAGTGAGGTTACTTCTCAAGTTAAACTGGTGTACTCTGAACCCTTTTACAATCATAGAACCTCTACAGCAGTTTTGGGAGATTGAATCAAAAATAGGTAGTCCTCTCTGGCACCTGGAGATTTATGTTGCACCTCTTGGAATGGCAATCAAGCCATCAGTGTAATGACCAGCTGCTGTATATTTATAATTTGCACTTAGCTACCACTATATCTGCACTCTGTGAATCTGTCATTTCATGGGCGCGCCTTTGCTGCTTGTTGCGTGTGCTTTCCACTGAGGATTATTTTCTGCCTCTCAGTTGCTAAAGGTTACTCAGACATCTAACCCATGTATTTATGCGTGAATCTTTACCAGGACCACTAATAAAAAAGGACCAAAGAGTCAAAGAGGAGCGCTAAGAAATTGGTATACTGTTAAGATTTGCCATCGTGCTGTTTTTGATTGCCAATGGAAATGAACATATATATTTATTTCTCCTTCTACCACTAAAGCTGTGTATGTATTCAAGTTATCCAGAATTTCACCATAACAACCATTTTGGCATTTGGTGACTGTATTTTCCCAAACACAACTAGCTTTTTACCACCAATCACCTAGGTGTATACTGCCAATGTTATTATGTTTCCTGTAGATTAAAATGGCTACTAATGTAGATCTTTAAAGGTACCCCAGCAGTCAGGTAACTGGACATGCTGCCACCCTAAATCAATATATTTAATAGGCAGTATAAATGTATACTGCAAGGTATTTGTAATACTATCAATGCCAGTATAATGCATGGGTGGATTAAACATCCCCAGTGCCGATATATGCCTCCTATGCAAAATGACAGCTTAGACTGCTGTGTCACATGTTATCAGGCTACAATCACAAAACTGTGAGCCATGTCACCTAGAAAACTTTGACAGTTCCACATAACAGCTCAGCACATAACTGAAGGGCGGCAATCCATAATTACCCTGCTGGTGTGGTAGGGGGGCTGGCACCACATTTGTCACAGCTCTATGTCACCAGCAAACTGCTGCTTGACAACTTGTACATGCACTGCACATGGATCTCCCTCAACACAAAGAGCCCATGAAGGTAGGTACACATGGCATTCTGCTTTCTTTAGGACTTAAATAGCACATACATTCTCAATTTACTCCTGGCCTACATCCAGGCAAAGTTGTTTACACACTATACCTATTGCCCTACATTGCCCAGTGTGAGGGAGGGATTTTTTTTTGTGTCTCTCGCATCTATCCCCCTAGTAGGACAATAATCCGCACAACAAAGATACATACATAAGCCCCTTTCACACAGGTGCCAGCCAGTTCCAATCAGCAGGGGGCACGTACATGGATCCCCTACTCATCGGAGGAGTTTGGAACGGATGTCACTGTTGTGACAACTGCGTCTGTCCATTTTTTGATCTCCATCTAGTAATGGAGGAAAATACTGAACATACTGGACCAATGTTAGAAATAGGATGTAAACAGATGTGTCCAGTTACATCAAAATACTTCCGATCCATCATGATCAGGTCAGCCAAAATGAAACCCTGTTCTGTTTTGTCTTCCTGACCTGGACAGAGTTTGGGGTAATCGGATGTAAACAGATGCACATCCATTTAGATTCGGTTGCCAATAGACTAACATTGGGCTTCCATTCAGATTCTTCTGAAAAACTGACAGACGGACCTGATCGGAACTGAAAGAAGACTAAAATAGATCATTTGTTTGTGCAGGTGTGGATAATGTTAGTTAGTATTTTAGTGTCCGTAGCTAATCAATGTAAACTAATATTTCTTTTTTTCTTAATCTTAATATTTCTGAAACACAAGCATTGTAGAATTTTAGATAACTGGTTTATTTACAGTTTGGTAAAGATGTTAAAGTGGGACATATACTTGTTTCCTACTGAGTAATTAAGTAAGATCTTCTTTCATGTTCTTTTATATTTTGCAGGTGGCCTCCTTTGGTTTGTAGCTACCAAGTTTTACTGAACTCTGCTAGCTATAAATAGCTTTTAGTAGTGTACATGAATAATATGTTTGTAACAAGATCACTTGCTTCATTATCAGCCTCCTAAAGAACTCTGCGTTTTTATTGTGAGCTCAGAGGAATGATATTGTCCAAGAGGGAACGTGATCACCTGCAAACAACCAAACATTGATACCTTGAACTGTACTCCATCAATGAAGTAC